CCCCGCACGTGTTCCCCAAGCCGCTTCAACAGCCGAACCCCCCGGCGCGCCCGCGGCGCCTTTGCCATTGAGATGCAGAGGGCGCGAAAGGAGCCCCCGAACCGCTGCTCATGTGGCGAGCGGGCGGACCGACGGCCCGGCCGTACGCTGGCCTGCCCTGCTGTGGTGGCGATCTGATCCGACATGATCTGGTCTCATCTGGCATGACCTAAATGAGAAAGACGGAGGAGGGATCTCTGGCACGGCATGCAACACGTGCCCTGAACCTTTTAAGAATTAAAGCACTGAAGAAGTGCCAAACTGTTGTGTAACCCTTCCCGCAGATTTGCTGCTGCTGCTGCTGCTGCTGCCGCCGTCGCTGTGTCCACGCTAGCACAAGTTTCAGTCTGCTGCCTGCAGCTGTCGTCGCCCCTTTCTCCCTGCTCCGTGCACTGCAAGTCGGGGCGGGGCGGGCAACATCCAGCCAGCCCTTGGCACTGTGGTCAGCTACAGGAGGGGCCAAGCCCGAACCACTGAATTTGTGAAGCCACCCTGTGATCTTGCTGATAGCACTCGGCTTTGTAGTGCATGTGTGGTTGCACTGCTTTCCGGCAAGCACCCATGGTGAACGGCCGATTCACACGCCGTTGTGCCCTGTGCTAACCTGTGCTAAGATATTAGACACCACCCCAAAGTACACTTGTCCCATCCAGTGAAGACAGAGACAGCAACAGCGATGCTCCGTTGTTGATGCTGTGTACTCACCTCGCCTGTGTTGCACCTGGCCAGGCCGTACTAACACAGGTTGCCCCACTTGCTCCCTCAAAACCACAGACACAGGTTCGAGGCCTAGTTGGTCCCTCGCGTATTTACACTAGGGCGTATGTGTGTACAAGTGTTGGCGGATCAATTGACCGTCACGCTTTTGAGAGTGCACAAGGTACGCCCATTGCACATTGCGATTGGGCGCCGCCCGGCCGCAGGGCCCTTGTAAGGAGGCGCCTGCGCCGCCGCCGCCCTTCGCGGCCGGCGGTTGCCATGCGCGTGCAATTCGCGCCCAACCGGCCAGCCCCAAGGACCGTGGCCGGAAATGCCGGCCGCGGCGGCCCTTCTTGGCGGGGCAAGCCCCTTGGATCATGATCGGCAAGGAACTTTCGGCCGGCGTGCCGCGGCAAAAAAAAGGTTGCAAGCATAGGCCCTGGCAAACGCGTCTCTCCCGCTCTCAAAACAGCTCGTTTCATAGTATGTGTCGGCTCAAGTCAACCCCGCGTGCGCGGGTTGTGTGTGTGGGGTGCAGTTGCTTCAAAGGTGAAGGTGCACTGGGCAGACCAGGCAGCAGCAAGCGGCCACCCCTCCCCCCTTGCGTTTTCACCCACCCCCCTTCCTTCCCTCAACCAAAGCCGCGCGGGCGCAAAGGTGCGCCGCGCGCCGCGCCGGCACAGGCAGCAGCGTCAACAACCGACAGCCGCGTGATAGCATAATCATCAGCGCCGCCGCCGCGCCGCCGCGCGCACCGTGCACACCCTTCATGCCGCAACCCTCACGCCCGCGACGGCAGCCCTGGACGCCAACTCCTCGTCGAACGTCAAGCGCCGAATCGCGTCCGAGGCAGCGGCGATGAGGGTCTCGATTCAGGCAACCACGTTCTGCTCGAGGGCGGCGTCCTCGCCGGCGACCTCGGCGGTCACGACCTCGGCCACGGCGCCGCCGTCGCCCAGGATGGGCTCAGAGTCCTGGGCGGGGATCTCGTACTTGATGTAGCTGGCCCTGGGGTTTTGGAGGGTTTTGGGGGTTGTGGAGGAAGGCTGGTGATCAGATTGAGGAGCGGGGGGCAGAAATGGCGCGAGATGAAACGGATCGCCGGGCAGGCAACGGTGGCAGGCCCGAGATCATGCTTCACACAACCCCTTCATATGCCAGCGGGCTGAGTATCACCCGCCCGCGGCTGTCTCTTCCACCTGGGGCGCGTCCAGGAATGAAGAATTCCGCGATCCCCTTCCCCGTGCAAGAGATCCCCTCGTCTTCCACTGTCACTCACAGGGGCTTGTGCTGCAGCTGGAACTTGCGCTCGCTCCTGAGGCCGCTGGAGCAGATGACCTTGGTCAGGTACTCGGAGCTCATGCACTGCAGGGTGCTGGGCTCGCCGTTGACGGGGCTGCGGGGGGGGGCGATTGGGTAGGGGGCCACGGCCAGCGAGGGATGCATGAGGGGCAGGTAGGGATCCGAGAGCGGGGGACAGCGAGAGGGGCGACCGGGGGGGGCGGGGACCCCAGACTGCTCAAGCTGTTTGTGCACAGTGCGGCAAAGCACAGTGTCCGGGCAGGGTCGGGGAAGAAGCCCCCAGGCAGGGTGGGGGCTGAGCCTGCGTCCGGGGAGGCGTGAAAGCATGCGGATGTGCAGTGTCAGCGTCAGACACTCACGTGGAGAAGCCGGCCTCGAGGCCCTCGTCGAAGCCCGACAGGGAGTTGAGCTGGCGGGGGGTCAGGGCGGGGACCTGGGGGGTAGCAAGGAGGGG